TTTATCCCTTCCAACCAGACCTTGATGTCCATCAGATTTCACTGAGACCTTCATACTAGTGAGCATCTGGATCATGTCATAGTTTGATCTTACTTTTGCCTAACAGTTTCTTTGTGATTTGCCTCCCACAACACATATGGTTTATTTCTTGTGTTTATCCTTATTTTGGCAGGATTTTGAGGTATCATGTCTCTTTTCATCTCTACTTTTTAAAGGGAGTGATTTTGCATAAATTATTATCTTTCTAGGTGTGAATTATGGTAATGGTCTTTTTCATGTGTTCTTTAGAGACTAGGAGTAAATGCCTGTTCTTACATTTTATTCCTGTAAATTATATCTTACTACAAGAAATATAATTTTTAATATTTTTCAACTCCAATTCTATTTTTGAAAGTTCTTTACCAGAACTTGCAATTGCTCAGACTGTGTCTCAAGATTTCATACCCAAAAGCACACAATGCAATGTGATTTATTTGAGACTGTATAAAAAAGGATTATTTTGTTTTCTGGAAGATATAAATAATGTATAGAGAAATTTCTTTTCAGGCTTGGAAATGTTAACTCTGGAAACTACACACATGCAAGTGATTACTTAGTGCAGAACAACTGGGTGAGTCACTTTTAGAGACACATCCTTCGGGATGATGATGGCAGACAGACAGTAGCCCTAAAAATTACAGATTGACCTAGATGGAAATTAAGAAACATCTGCTGGTATCTTTATTTAATGAGGTTTTACAAGAGGATAAAAGTCAAACACATAAGTTATTTATCTTTAATTGGGAATATTTATAATTTCTTTTGAGAATTCTTATGGGAAAAGGCAAGTAGAAAGGTACTCAGATGAATAGTATAAATGAGGGAAATTATTTTTGTTATACTTATTGCTTTAGAATGGCAGAGAGACGAATTGTAGGTACAAGAGACTGAGAAAACATGGAGGGATGAATGACTAAAGAGGGTAGCAATAGACATAATCAAGAACCTTTTATTTATTTTTTTAAAAGGAAAAACATTTTTTCATCATTATCAGAAAAAATAGAGAAAAAAGCCCTTTGATTTTTTACCTTGCTTTATGAAAAAGGTGTTCTCTGTTTCCTTAGTCGATCCAGATCCTGTCCTCTCCTTCATTTTCTAAAATTTCTTGACATACTTTTTCTTCCTTTTTTGTACAGCATTCTTTTAAATAATATTTACAATAACTACTTATTATTCTAGAAACATAATCAGGAATTATATTAGTTATTTAATCACTCTGTGCCAGTTTATTGATTAAATAGGTATTAAATAACAAGGCTCATGGAGCTGTTGTGTTAATTAAATAAAGCAATACAAATAAAGCACTTCGTTAAAAAAAAACCAGTCTGTTATAAACAGTATCACTACTACCAGTACTACTATAACTATGATGATTTAATAATTTGATTTTGTGAGTTTCTCAAAATAAGAGACACATTTTTCCTCTTCCTTGACACCCACATATAGCACACTGTGCCTGTATGATTAGGATGCACTCAACACATGCAAAAAAATAAAATGGTCTGAGGCCTATATCTTACTTTTCTGGAAACTGTGCTCTACTTTCCTTGCTCTAACCACAGCTCATGTCCTTATTCTCATTTTTGTTTTACATGCCATTGAAGTTTTCCTGGTCTCTGGTTGATGACTGAAGGTGGATTGGAGAAATAGGTCAATTAACTGTGCAATCAAGATGTTAGATGGATCATCAGTGAGGGTACTGACTTTTTAAAAAAATTTTCAACTGGGGTATAATTGCTTTACAACGTTGTACTCATTTCTGCTGTGGAGAAAAGGGAAGCAGCTGTGTGTATATATGCATCTCTCCTGGTTTTTGGATTTCCTTCCCACTTAGGCGGCAGAGCATCATGCAGAGTCCCCTTGCGCTACAGCAGGCTCTCATTTGTTATCCATTCACACGTTAGTGTATCGATGTGAATCACAGTCTCACAATTCAGCACGCCCCTTCCCCTATTTGGTGTCCACATATTTATTCTCTACATCTGTGTCTCTCTTTCTGCCTTGTAAAGAGGTTCATCTGTACCAGTTTTCCTGGTTCCAGTTATATGTGGTAAGATGTTTTCCTCTGACTTATTTCACTGTGTGACAGTCTCTAGGCCCATCCATGTCTCTACAAATGACCCAGCTTTATCCCTTTTTATGGCTGAGTAATATTCCATTGTTCATATGTACCACATCTTCTTTAGAAGATACTGAATTTTTTTAAGATGGATTGCTAACTGGTAGGAAAGATGCACCAGAAACTGAAGAAGATGGGATAGAATCAGGGAAATTAGTATTTAATTTTTAAAGGGTTAAACAAACAATGAGAAGATGGCAAGATCTTCAAAACACAATGAGGTTTTGCTTTGTTTTGAAGTTTGGATTTCAGCATAAATTTTTGAAGTGTATAAGGCAAAAAAAATGCTTTTATTCACTGAAGGGTAATTTTTCCTGAGAACACAGGCTCATAATAATATAGAAATGCTGCTTTAAAACTTTACTATATTGACCCAGTTGTTTCAAAACACACAACTGTGAGATACCATATGGTACAACAGAAGTGACAAAATAATGCAAGTGGAGATGAAAGGCATCCACATGGAATTGACAAATTTAATCTACATTTAATATTGAATCTTGGATTTTGAAATAATGGTCAGACAACCTAGTGAATACTAAGAACAAATCTGACATTCTGGGGTACCATATATAATTGGAAGTTGACATATCTTGATGCATATTTCCTAAGGAAGTTGGTGTCTGCTAGAGTTCATTTCCATTGAGATACTCATTTAATGGGTGGGACTGGAGAATTTTAAAACCAAGTGACATATTGAAGAATTTAGGATTTCAACAAAATTTATCATTCATACAATTTAGGATTCTTGCAATTTTCTATCATACTTCTTTAATGTTTTAATTAGGCATATATATCAAGTATAAACATAATTTATTTCCAAAATGATATATATTTAAGTTGAATGTATGTACATAGAATGTTTATAATTACTATTGTTGAAAAATGGGAATCTGTATAGAATTTCTTCTGGCATTTATTGACATAAGGCACTGATAATTATGACATATTTGAAGGTAGCAATTCAATAAGAAGTATAAAGTTTTCTCATTAAGTATTTTTATGAAAATACTGTATATTTTTAATAGCTCATGGAATGTTGTCCTTGATATGTTAAATTGTGTAAGGATGTAATTTCACACAAAAGTATACATTTCAAATTGTTATTAAAAATCAAGGTATTTTCTAACAAAATAATTTTCTTTTATAAACACAGACTTTAAGAATGCATTTATTATTCCAAAATATTTTTATTATTTCTGTCACATAGTTAAATATGTGAAAAAATCTCATTTAGTATAAAAGTTTTCTTTTTTTGCTTCAATTGCTTAAGAACATGTCATGAAGTAACCAATATTTTTTCTTTAAATTTTTTTGAGAAAGTATAGACATTAAAGTATTTTATAACTGAAGACTGATGAAATTTTCATTGGACCTTTCATCTTTCATGTTAATATCTTATCAAGTACCCAAGTCAATAAATTGTTTCCTGGAATGTACATTATTTTTAGATGACTGAAACAAAATAACACTTTTGCAGTGGTAAAAGTTTAATAGACTTTTTTTTCTTTTACTATATGATGAAATGTGGTGATAAAAGTTTCTTGTTCTAATTAGATAAAAGATTGTAATCTGGGGTTTAAAAGGTTAATGTTTCAACATTAGACCTAAATTATTCATTAATAATTCTAAATGTAAGATCTAAGACAAATCACTTATTACTTTTCTTTCCTACAAAGTTACAATAATAAAATTGCCCTACTTCACATAAAGAGGGTCAAATGAGATCACAAAAATACCTGGATTATTATAAAGTGATATAAAAAATGTAATATTGCTATTGTCAAGAAGTAGCTTTAGTAAGGCTTTATTATTGCTTTTATACTTTGCTTAAATTGATTTTATTTAATATAATATTAAATATAAAATAATGCAATATATCATAAAATTTCTCCTTAGGTTTAGTATGGACTGATATCAGTCAGATAATTTTATAAAAATATATAAGCATTTCCTTTAAAGAAGTTCAAGAATATTACTTCTCAATAGTGAGTACAGAGCCATCTGATATTACACAATTTTAATAAACACTGTCTAAAGTCTAAGAGGAGCTTAAAAGAGACCAGTATAGGAATAATTGCAAGCTACATTCCAGTCTCCAAAGGGAATAGGATATCTTATTTTTATGAATGGATTATGGATTTTATAATCTAGAGTATGTGTTTGGTTTTTTTTTATCTTAAACTTATGAAGAAAATAAAGGAGAAGTCTTAATAATGGTATGTTTCTAAAGTTAGTAACTACACTACAGATTAGGTCAAAATATAATAATCTTGGGATGAGAATTTACTTATGCTTTCTGAATGAACAGACTTTATAATGTTAAGAATTCAATATACTTTTTAACAGTACACTTTTTCATATGGATGCCAGATTTTATTTATCATGTTGTATACTATTCACTAGGTAATAAATTTAAACTGCTTCTCGAACCAAATGTAGCGAAAGTTAATTTCAACAAATATATACTTAGAATCAAAAGTAATACAAAGAAGAAAGTGAACATTTTTTTTCTGAAATTGGTACATGCCAACAATACAGCATAGGTGAATCATTTTTAGTCAGTATCTAAATTCAAGTAGAATTTATTAACTGGTACATGGAGATATGCATTAATTTCTTGATATTTACCAGCGATTTAATTCAAATAAGATTTGAGGACTAACAAATTCATTCTTTATTTTGAAATTCAAAGGTGCAAACCCACTAAAAATGAAGTGTAGTAAATAAATTGTACAGTGGAAAAGCTATCTGATTTTCAGACACAAAACTTTGCTGAAAAAGTTTAAGCCTCTCTGGACTTAGTTATCAACCAAACAATCAAAACTTGGATTTTTTAAAAAAAAAAACATATTTACTTGAGATCTAATGGTTCAGTGAGGTTTACAGAGAAAATGGAAGTTAAAACTTCAAAATCACCCAAACTGTGATGATTTGAACACATTTATGAAAACTTTTGCTTAGGTACTGTATAAGTAAATACTGCAGATACAAGTGTAATGTTTAGGTTAAGAGAAATAAAATATATATTTTTGTTATAGGAGAGAAAAATTTGACATTATAATGGTGATAGGGAATTGACAGACTCAAGATGTGGCTCTCACTTTTTTTAAAGAAGTTTTTCATTTAAGAACAGAAAATAGGAGTCTTTGCCTGTCAACTGTGTGTGCTAACTTCACTTATGTTACTGTTTAGCTGTGAAGGACTCCATCTAGGGAATCCACTGAACAAACATATGCTGCTTATTTCAGTGCTATCTTTGGTGAAGTCTTGTTTGTGAGTCACCTTGCTAGGCAATGTTGGAACCCATAACCTGGTTGTCTAGTACTAGATGGGTGAGATAATGCTGAAGGTAGGTAAAATACAAGAGGAGTGGGGCTAACCTGAAGAACCCATCTTCTCTCAGCTATTCAAATTTGGAATTCCAAATTCCAGCTGACCTGTGGTCACTTGAACTAGCAAAGAGATTATGGCATAAAGATTAATTTGAAAGTGATTGTGGGAATACAGCCCAGTGCTGTGACTCCAGTTGAGTAAATATCAAAGAGGTTAACATTTAGAGGAAAGACAGGGAGAGCAAAGAGTGCAGAAGGTATAAAGAAGCAGAGTGAATGACATTATGTGCCAGTGATGAGAACATGGGCTGCAAATAGAGTGCAATAAATCAAAATATAGTAAACGCCAAACAAATGCACAGTTTTGACTCATAAGAGAGGAGACATTTAACTTTTCTTTATGAAGTCCATGCTCTTCTCATTTGGGATGCTTGTTCTCAAAAGTATTTTCATACCTTTCTTTCTTCCTCCTTATTCTGTCTTCCCAGAATGCCTTCTTTTACTTCATTTGCACAAATCTGTCAAATTTCATTACATAGTGCATGGGTCACTTATTTTCTAAAGTTTTCTATGATATCTCCCACCAAATTCTTGACTCCTCTTTGATTTCACATCTTTTTATAAAAACTGAAGTATAGTTGATTTACAACATTGTCTTAGTTTTCAGATACACAGTAAAGTGATTGTTTTATATATTTCAGATTCTTTTCCATTATACATTATTAATAGTTTCAGTGCTATACAGTAAATCCTTGTTGCTTTTCTATTTTTGTGTAGTGTGTATCTGTTCATCCCATACTCCAAATTTATCTGTCTTTCTCCCTTTACTCTCTAGTAACCGTAAGTTTGCTTTCTATGTCAGCAGTCTGTTTCTGGTTTGTAAATAAATTCATTTGTATTATGAGATTCCACATATAAGTGATACAACATTTGTTCTCTGATTTACTTTACTTAGTATGATAATCTCTAGGTTCAGCCATGTTACTGTAAATGGCATTAATTTTTCTCTTTTTATGGCTGAGTAATATTGCATTATGTACATATATGCTTAAACCAATCATCTGTTGATAGGCTCTTGGGCTGGTTCCATGTCCTTGCTATTGCAGATAGTGCTGTTATGAACACTGAGTAGCATAGATCTTTTTGAATTAAGAGTTTTCATCTTTTTTGGATATATGACAAGGAGTCGGATTGTTGCGTCATATGGTAATGCTATTTTTAGTTTTCTTAAGGAATTTCCATACGTTCTCCACAGTGGCTGTAGCAATTTTCATTTGCACCAATAGTGTAGGAGGGTTCTCTTTCCCTCACACGCTCTCTAGTATTTATTATTTGTAGACTTTTTGATGATAACCATTCAGACCAGTATGAGGTGATACCTCATTGTGGTTTTGATTTGTATTTCTCTAATAATTAGTGATGTTGAGCATCTTTTCATGTACCTGTTGGCTATTGTATCCTTCTTTCAGGAAATGTCTATTTAGAACTTCTGCCTATTGACTGGATTGTTTTTTGTTTTTTAAATATTGAGTTGTATGAGCTATATTCATGTTTTGGCTATCAATCCCTTCTTAGTTATACTGTTTGCAAACATTTTCTTCCATTTCACACTTTTTTTTCCATTTTGCTGATAGTCTTCTTTGCTGTGCAAAAGCTATTAAATTTGATTAGGTCCCATTTGTTTATTTTTGCTTTTAATTCTTTTGCATTGAACTAAGCAAATATTGCTAGTTTATATGTCACAAAATGTTCTGCCTTTGTTCTCTTCTGTAGCTTTACGGTGTCATGTCTTATATTTAGGTCTTCACATTCTGAGTTTATTTTTTGATATGTTATGAGGGAGTGTTTTAGAAAAACAAATAAAATGCATCCAAATTGGAAAAGAAGAGGTTCAAGTTTTCATTATATGCAGTTGAATAGCACACTATATAGTAAATCCTAAAGACTATGCAAAAACTTAGAAATAATAAATGAATTTAGCAAGGTAGTAGGATATAAGATTAATATATAGAAATCTGCTGCATCTTTTTACACTTACAATTAAATATCAGAAAGAAAAAGTAAAACAATCCCATTTAAAATTCAGGTCAAAAATAAATAAATAAAATACCTAGGAATAAACCTAAACCAAGTAGGTGAAAGACCCATATGTTGAGAACTCTAAAAACACTCTTAAAAGAAACTGAATCAAACAAATGGTGATTCAAACAAATGGAAAGATATCCCATGCTCTTGGAAGAATTCATATTGCTAAAATGAGCATACTACCCAAAGCAATCTACAGATTTAATGCAATCCCTATCAAATTATCCATGATATATTTTAGAGAACTACAACAAATAATCCTAAGACTTATATAGAACCATAAAAGACCTAGAATTGTAAAAGCATTCCCAAGGGAGATTAAAAAAAAAAAAAAGCTGGAGGCATAATTGTCCCAGACTTCAGACAATACTACAAAGCTACAGTAATCAAAACAGCATGATATTGGCACGAAAACTGATAATGTATCAATGGAACAGAATAGAAAGTCCAGTAATAAACCTATACACCTATGGTCAAGTAATCTTTGACAAAGGAGGCAAGAATATACAAAGGAGAAAAAAACCCTCTTCAGCAAGTTGTGCTGGGAAAACTGGATAGCCTGGACATCCCCATAGCACTTTTATTCTGAGTTTGCTCTTGGCACTCATCACAGTGTAACCTGGTTCTTTCCTGCAACAATTTAAAGAGCTCCTTTCTTGTGCCAGTTATCATGCTAGGCACTGGGGACAGAAATAAATTAGAAACAAACCTTGCCCTTGAAGAGCTCACTCACAGTCTAGAAAAGGAGACTGGGCTGTAAACAAAGAAATTACACTTTTGTGATAAGTGTGATAGTGAAAACTATATACAAGGCACAGATTTTAGTGCAGAGAAGATGGTTAGTTCAATCTAGGGATGGGGGGATCAGGAAAAATTGGCCAGATAAGATGATGGCAAGTCATATTCAATCTATTTTCTTTATTTCATTGTGAGCTCTTGAGTCTATGCCTCATTCATGTTAGTATCCTCATTATCTACCAGTGCCTAGCACATTGCAGGTAATAAGACTTATAAGTAGAATTTAATACAATGGGTAGGGATCTGGTTCTAAAGAACAAAATGTCTAAAAGCCTGATTTGTTTATATTCAAAATTATTATTATTATTGGTTTAATCTGATTTGGTACCTCTGCCTCTGTCTGTGTGTGTTTGCATGTTTGAAATGAAAACCAAACTGTCTTCTTTGGCCAAGTTGACTGTGAAAATGACCATACTATACGAGGCAACATTTCCATGGGTTCATTCTCTCTTTCATGTAAAGGTCCTCTTAGTATTTTAATTTTAAAAAGTATGTTCAATTAATTAGTATATAAACTGTTAGAAGTCAAATTTAGAGGTTCTGCAGCTTTTTGAAAAAATGCTTTCTTATTGATGGGATTATGTATTTTGCAAACATTAACATTGACTTTATAATTATTACAAAGTTAAAATATAAAGCATGAATGTCTTTGGCATTAGGCTCGTTTATCTCTAATAGACTACAACATTAATGTTGAATCCTATTTGTTAAGTGTGTATTTGAAACCATGAAACTGGACAGATTTCCATTAAAGTGAAAGAAAGTTGTGTTTAAAAATGAATTCTTAAAACAAAGATTTCAAAATGTTATACTAATTACTCCATATTAATAAATTAATAAAACACTTGCTTATGACCTTCAGGAAAGGCAATCTCAATAACAATTTTCAGGCACCTTTGCAGATACTGAATGAAACAGACTATGATAATGACACACTATAGAATTTCCTCCTCATATTTGCTTTGTAAGTATGGCATAAAATAACAATATTTAATTTAAAGGCGTAACATTCACACTTATCACCAGAAGTATAGAGCTCAGCTTACAGATGACTACAATGAAGAAATATGCTAGCAACTTGACTCTGGTTCTCAACCTTTTCTACTCTTATGTTCCTTGACACTATATGCTACACGGAATAGTAAAGACATCTGAATTCAAATATTTTGAAGAAATGTGTATTTAGCAACTGAATACATGCTAACAGAAGTAATTTACAGCAGCAGTTTCATTACATTTTTCTCTCCAGTTTTCTAGTTCCCATCTGAAATCCAATGATAAATACAGATATGGAACATGTTTACTACCTGGCAAAAAACATGCTTATTGAATGGGCACACAGCTTCTTCCCTTAAATAGCACATGAGCCACTTTGTCACCTATGTGGGAAAATCTTGCATTTTAAGATGATGTTGAACACACTGAAATGGGGTACCTACAAAAAGCTGCATTTTACACTGTCCTTCCTCTTCTTTTCAAAATTATTTACATCTCTTTTCCCTAATGTGTAGGTAGCAAAAATATTAAACACATACCATTGAAAAATCACTAAATAATACATAAAAAGTAGCATTAAGTGTGCATTTACATGCATTTACATTTTACATTTGATTTCAAGTGGGCCATAATTTCTCTTCTGTTATGTACTTTTTCCTATTTTAAGATTGTTGTCATAATCTGTTCAAGGTCACATGAGTCTCTTAAAAAGCTTTCAACTCTGATGATAGAAGAATGAGCCAAAGTCTATTAAAACTGAATAAATGGGATATTAATTATTTTTTGTGCAAATGGCCCCGCTCACACTGACAGAAGATTAAGACTGGAATAAGAGTTATTTATCTGTAAATTACATCTATAATTTTCTTCAAAAATGTAGACCTGATGATTTATTAAGACATGCTGGTGGATTTATTTGTTTCTTTTAACTGAAATCTAGACTTTCTTTCTATGGGTATTTCATAGTGCTAAACAAAATGCATTCAGATATTGGAAGACATTCCTAAAGTTACATAATCTCTATCCTTTCAAATCCTTTGTTTTTGAGGACTAATAAGAAATAAGATACTTTTGTTATTACCAATAATGTGTTTCAGCTGCAAGTTTAGAATAAAATGCAATACTGAATTGCAGTACAGTTAAGACACATTTTAAAATGACCTATTTTTGGAGCACTCTTTGTTCTCTGATTTATATCTCAAACACTTTTTTTTCTCTATAGGAGTCTGTTCTTCAAATAATTTAAAATTCAGCTACCACTTGAGGATGTACTTCTAAAAGTAACACTGTATTAATCAATGGAGCCTAAAATTGAATATAGGGTACTTCTAGGCTCCCATTTGAAACAAACATCAAAAAATTATTTATTCAAAGTAATCAGTAAAACTGAAACATGAGCTTTCATCTGTGAAATATTTCAGCTGATAAAGAGGATTTTTTGAAAAGTCACTGTAGTCTGAGGTAAGAAATTAATTCTGAGTTATTTAGAATCCCAAGACAGCTATAGTCAGAATTTCAATGCTGCTTTCATTAATTAGCAATAATATGTTTCCTTTGCATTTCTGTGCATGATGAAGGACCCAGAGAGGAATTCTTGGAAAAATGAGTGCAGCACAAAAGAAACTGCATTTGCAATGCTGAAGTTTTTTACATCTTGAAGTCAATTATTCTTAAGGAATCATCTTAGGACAATGAAGCAGGCAAGCCCTTAATTAATGATTATCTTATTTTATAAGTTGTTGCAGAAGACAAAGAGCTTTTACATGTTTTAAGATGTGGGTTTTGTCCTGGAAAATAGTTTGTATAAAAGTCACTCCCACTGACTTGAAAGGAATCATGAGTTCTTTAGACAGATAACTGTCTTAAGGTGAGATACGAAACAGCTGATAAAAATGTGAACAGAGCAGAGCTGGGAAATTCACGTTTAGGATGCTGTTCTGAATATCCTTGATCTCCCTCTTCTCAAAAAAATTAAGTCACACAGATAAAAATCCTAATGCAGCCAAGAGAGAGTTTTTATATCTCAAATATCAGACAGGATTCAAGTGAAGAGTTAAGACATTTTCTATTAACATTAAATTAAACCAATGCTTACTATTTTTATGAAATATACAATCCTTTTTCTCTTTGTTGATTCATTAGGTACAACAAAACGCACTTGCAAATTGATTTTTTTTTTCTTTCCAGATAAATGCTGTTTTTCTAGGAATATTTATGCAGTTTCTAATTAATTTAGGTAATATTTGAAGAAAGGGAGGTGTTATTTTCTTAATTCCTCAGAGAAATAAAGCATACTTTATATCCAGATTTTAGGAGTTAGTTGTTAATGATGTATATGTGATTTAGGACAATATTGGTTATTCTTGCAAAACTGAAAACGTTTTTAAAAAGCAGCACACAACTGGAGTTTTTTAAAAACAAAAACTATATACCACAATAACTGTAAGACAAAAACTTACTCTAGCTTAGAAAAGAGCTAATTTTTTCTGCATATTTGTCATGGTACATTTAAATTATAGTTTTAATAAAATACATCTTTAGATCAAAGCTGGAAGAAAGACATCAGTAGTAGATCAGTGTATTCCATTTTTCTTCTGGATGATGAATGGTTTGTTTTTTTTTTTTTTAATTTCCACAGACCATTTCATTCAGTATCATTTTACTCCTCCAGTACACATAAACATGAGTGTTGGTAGCCAAAAGATATCCTTGAATCCAACAATGTTTTGGAATATTCATCAGCTTAGTAAATCCATGCAGTTTATCTTAAACTTCTAGTTCAATAAAATGGCTTTGCTGATGCCATTTTTATTCTTTAGATGGCACTATGGCAAATGACATTTTTATTTCTCAGGCAAAGAAGAAAGTGAAACCTGTATAGTGAAATCTCATAGGAAACATTAAGTCACTAGTGTGAACATCTGTGTTCATCTGACCTCTATTAATAGGTGTTGGTATTCGGAAGAATGCCTGTTAGTAACATTACTCATGGACTTAATTTATAATTGGTGGAACTAAGTTGCATTTCCCACCATTGTAAACATCCACATAATGCCATGAAAAAGTTCATGTATATTGCAATTTTTCCAGTTATTGTCTAGGCAAGTTTCTACTTGTTTGAGGTTTCTAGAGGTAATGCAGCTCAGACACTCCTGGGTGCCCTCTCAAATTCGTGGGTCCTCCTGTTTCTGCCTTTCTTATTTTCCTGTAAGTGCTTCCATTTGTTACTGTTCCCTTGGGTATGTCCTGGCCTTTGCCTACGCTGTTTTCGGTCCCTTTTCCAAACTTGTTCACAGAACTCATCCATTGTGTTCAGGTTGGGATGATTGATGAGCTGCATGAAGTCTCTGTACCAGACCTTCTGACTAGGCGTCATGCTGTTGGACGTTTCTTTGGTCTTAGACCCATCTCCATCATCATCTTTATGAAGAAGTTCTTCCAAATGTTCTGTGTCAATGACTTCTAGGGTCACTTTAAGAAGAGTTTGCATGAATCCGTGTTCCACAGCATGACAGAGGTAATTGCCTGAATCCTTCCGCTGTAGACTACGCAGTAGAAGGCCTTGTTCTGTTCTGATGATATGATCATCCACTCTGATCTAGCAAAAGAAAATAATTAGTGAAATCATATATATTTACAAGAAATATAAGCTCCAAAACTCTGTCTCAGTAAAAATCTGTATTGTATACTGAGGCACATTTTAACAGTAAAAGTTCTAGTTTAAGAGAAATGATATCATTTCCCCATCAGAGAAAGGAGTTACAAATCTCTCCTGTCTTTAAGATGTATTGCAAAATACTGGTTGTCTATTGTCTTAATAAAATTTCTCATAATAATTTAAAATAATTAAGAGGATGAAAGGACAAATATATATCCTATTTTAAAACTTTGAAATAAAGTGTATAAATATAGGAGAAAGTAAGTGTTGGAATTGGAAATATAGAAACATAATACTAGAAAACAGTGCAGCATTAGAATGAATTTATAATAATTCAGAGTTGAGCAAGCAGAAAAATTATGGGATTACACGCTTACTTATTTATTTAATTTCCTGTCTTAGATGAGACATGAAGACATGTTGTTTAATATGTCTAACGGCACTTTTACTCTGAATGAAGTTTACAAAAGAGATCTCTGAAAGCCTAAGCTGGTAACATATAAAATCAACCTTAACATTTATAAGACATGATTACATGTTTAAAGACTGCTTCAACTGTCAAAAGAGATAATGGGATACTTTCACTTCTACATTCGGATTATGTAAAATTGTCTGCAAAATGTACATTCATAAATCATGTACATTGTATGGTTACCCTTATTTAAGGCTTTAAAAAAAGTTTAAAAGTCTCAGAGTATTCACTGAGATTTTCTATGTATAATTTTTTAATTTTACAGAGGAATTAATGGATTCATTGAGGAGGAAGATTTGTATGAAACTACTTGCATAATTCACATCAGAGTTCAATACTGGGACCTAGGATCTTTCCTCCTGAATCTACTACTCCTTTCTCTTAACTGCCTCTTCCCATTTGAGGAAGAAGTTAAGAAAGGGAAACATGTTTGGATAGCAGAATCAATTGAACAAGAGTTAGAATTAGTTAGGAGGATTTTTCTTTTCTTTTTTTTTTTTTGTATACAAATGAATATAACATAATAGATAACTCCAGGCAGAAAAAAAAAAAACAAACAAAAATGTAGACCTTACAAAAATGTAAGGTCCCCGCCCCTCACCCCCCACCACCGCAAACAGCTTCTAGGACAAAATTCTTATAGTTCAACTTTGTTCCTTTAACTCCGAGCACAAAGCCTGCCATAAAATCATCTTCAATTAATACTTATTTAACCTACAGGTCCTGGTAGGTTAAGAAAAGAATAAATATTCACAGTACTTCTTTTTCCCTCACTCAAGTCAACCACGCTGGGGTCACTTAACAAATATGTTAGATAGAGTGAATCCAGTTTCTTTCCTATACCTCTTCTTTTCGCTCTTCATTTCGCCTCTGGAATTGCCAATAGACCAGAGCTCGCTGTGATTTCGGACTGCATTCCAGGAAGGTGCTGCTATTTTCTACTCCATATATGATTCTTTCTTCAAAGCTGTGGCCATGGTGATTATCTGACCAGTGATGAGAAAATGAAATGAGAAAATGTTACAGTAGTAAACTCAACTTTCCGGAGTGTTTATTTGGAAATTCAGGAAATGGACTTGTTGCTGAGTTGGAAATCTTTTCCAATTTTATCAAGGATGGCAGAAATGCCAAGGTTTCAGAACTCAAATGTCTACCTAAACAGACTAGTCATTTTGTTATGGGTTATATAAGGCATATACAGAGATTTGTCCACCAGAAAATAGCATTACATTAACAAAATCAGTCATACGTGCAGTGTAACTATACATCTTTATATGCCATGATAATACTTTCCAAGACATTTTTTTCATTGTAAAACTGTGATCTAATTGTGCCAGTTTACACTGTATTATTTTCCAGCAGAAAAAGTAATTCGATTGCATTTTTGAAAACACAAGTTTTTGTCTCATAACTTAATTTTGCCTCTTTGTTCTTCCTCTTTAAAATAAAATTCACCAACCAATAATATTTGTCTAGTATTTTACAGAAGTTACGAGTTCAGGAAGTTTATATTGCCTACCAATAACCCTTAAATAATCCACAAGTTTGTTCTGAAGATCAATTGATGTGAAATGTTTGGGATGGCTCAGAAGAAAGATGCACAATTATAATGCAATGTGGTTTCAATTGTCCTTATTTTAAAATGACACATCTTTTATTATTTTCAAGAATTAGACTAAAGAATATGGCAAGAGTATATAATAAAATACAGCAATAAGAAAGCCTGTTTCCTGATTAAGTTTCTGTTATCTTACCCTTTATGTAACCTCCTTCAATGTGGTACATGAAACACAGTTAAGATCAAAACTACGACACAGGGAGTCTAGGTAAAACTCATTTAGAGAAAAAAACTCCTTATTATCTTGTATAATCCTGTTTCTATTATGACATCCTGTACAATCTGGAACTCATTAAATTCATTTAGAAAATAATAAATATATTTTCACATGCACAGAGGACTGAGAGTGTAGACATGAAAAAATTTTGCTTACTCTTTCAAACTCAGCTGGATTTTTAATTAAAAAAATGTTTGCCCCCTTTTTGCATTACTTTGACAGTTTTACTCTCATATAACCATCTGAGTACTTTTGTCTGTCATGGACAGTACGATGTGCTCTAAGTTTAAAGCCTTCCAAAATCCTGCTTCCGCCCAATCCCTGTACACAGCCTATGGCCATCATCTCCTCGTCTCACCCTGCCTATGGTGGACCTTCTGTCTGCATTTGCTGTCTCCAGGGATGCCTATCCCAGTGTCCTTTCCTTTATTGTTTCAGGTATGAAACAAAACTCTTCTAATATTGGGAAGTATCTGTCCCTTCTTATTTAAAAGATCAAGTCCCTGGAAATAACAATTAAAAAAACACATTAAATGACTGAAATGTAAAGAAATAATATTTAACTGATTTCAAGTCACATTTCATTTCATGTTGGAGATATGTGTATCTGTGTATCAATGTATACTTTGACTATGGCAGTGTTGTTCTTTTCCCCCTGAAATTATTAATATATTTTTATTGAAAAAATATGGTACGTGTTGCTGTGCTAGTTTGCAAGACATCTACTTCTCTGGATAGAGATAAATTGAATCTCTTGTCCAACATGAGCTGGATGGTCTGTGATTCAGGAGCTACCATCAATAATTATAATAACCTTGTCACAGAGGTCATGAGTGTTTACACAGAATGCATTTTTTTCCTGCTGTTGTACAGTTTAAACTTTTTTTAATATTTAAATTATTTTGCTTATATTATGCTTATTTATAAATTACTTATAATATTATAACTAAGGTAGATATCTGCAACATGTAACAACAGGGATGAAACATGAGAACATGCTAAATGAAATAAGTCAGTCACAAAAAAACAGAAACTGCATCATCTCACTTAGATGAGGTATCTAAAATAGTAAAAAATCCTAGAAGCAATAGTAGAATGATGGTTGCCAGAGGTTGGGGGGAAGGGAAATGAGGAATTGCTAGACAAGGTATAAAATGTTAGTTATGCAAGATAAATGAGATCTGCTATATAACATTATGCCTATACTGAACAATACTGTATTATATACTTTAAATTTTTTAAGACAGTGGATCTCATGTTTAGTGTTCTTACTCCAGTGAAACTAAAAAAAAAAAAATCAAAAAAACTTTTTTAATTAAAAAAAGAAATCCTTTTACTTTTAGGAAGACACTTTTCATTCAATATCTAAATAGTAATGAATCATAAGATATACAACAGCATGATAAAATAGAAAAAAAAAATCAGCTGGATTTAAAAACAGACGACATGGTTATCCACCAGTATCTTCTCTCTTACCAGCCATGCTTATTGGGTCTTTTTCTTGAAGAAATTTATAATTCTTGACTTGTCTCTCATCTAATCTGTCTAAATTAAGGTAGACAACTATAGAAATCTAAGGTGTAAATAAATTATTGCTCTCAAACATAGGAATCTGTTTAAATCCTTCAGTACATTAGTGGCCATTCAGCTAAGAAAATCAAGGTAACTTGTACAATAAGAAATCATAGAGCTTAATATAAATGAAACATCTATTAGGCACATTTTCAAAAAGTCACTTTGTCTTCTCAATTAGTTCAATCATTCTTACTGATCCATACTGTTCTGTTAATTTTACTTAGTCCTAGCAGACCTACTTAGTCTTTATGTTCTCTCCAAAATCTCTTCTGGTGACAGCAAATATTTCCCAGTGGACAATAAAGAAAAGAATTCTCTTAAAAGTTTCCTGATTTTTTAAAAAAAATTCACCTGTTACTTGTCTATGAAAAGAAAGTGGAAGTGCAGTCACTCAGTCCTGTCCGGCTCTCTGTAACCCCATGGACTGTAGCCCTCCACGCTCCTTCGTTGGTGGAATTCTCTAGGCAAGAGTGCTGGAGTGGACTGCCATTCCGTCCTCCAGGGGATCTTCCTGACTCAGGGATCAAACCCAGGTCTTCCTCATGGCAGGCAGATGCTTTACCATCTGAGCCACAAGGAAAGTCTGTTACTTGTCTGTAGAATCTAATATGTTATTTGACTTAGCCAAGGATTTATACCAAGTGATTTATGGTTTAATATAGCAATAGACCATGGGTTTCTTCAAAAAATGTAATGACCTTCAGGCACCTTCCCACTTATTCAAGCTAAGAACCACAACTGGTGACACTGGTTCGTTGGCTTGAGGTCTTCAATGACTACTCTGGCCAACACCTTAAGGTGTCATTTCCCTGTAAGTTGGCTCTTTCTTTCTCTCCTCTGTCAAAATTAAAAGCAAAATAAAACCTAGTCAGTAAGCAGTAAAGCTAAAAGTCCCGTCATATTAACTATCAGTCACAGTCATATTCAGAGGTGCTAATGAGTATGCAGATGACAGTAGTACCTCCTATTCTGTTTTTTAAAGTTCTGTTTTCAATTACCAAACACTAAACAGACAAAATTTCCTCTGAATACATTTCTTTCTGTTAATTCCCCTGTAGTAAAATGTTTCTATCACAAGCAACTTTTAACTGTGGATCACAACTTTCATTTAAAGTAGCCTCAGATAAGTATTCTTGTATTTGGGTACTTACATGTCACAACCCATAAACATTTTTTTCTATTAATCTTGCCACACCTGACACCTTATAAAGAGACACTCAATAAATACATTTAAAGTTTTATTTTTCATATAATTTTACAAGTTACACTCCATTAACAATTATTATCAAACATTGGCTATATTCCCCATGTTGTTCAATATATCCTTATAGCTGAAGTTATATCAAATAGACTACTGGAAGGCACTCAGTAAATACCCACTCCCTCTTCTGACCCTTCTACCCCAAATACTTGAATAAATTTTGTATAACACAGGAAACATCAGGGGTCTAATAACTATACATTTTTCTCTCTCTCATTTTTCCTTCCTTTCTTCCCCCTGCCCCTTTGCCCTTATTGCTGTCTCTCTTTCCCTCTCCTTCTCCAAGAGTAATTACAAACAGGAAGAACATTTTGATTCTTGACTTCTAAACTTACTAAGTGTTCAATATTTTAGATGCCAGAACTTAAAATACTTTATTGAGAATCTATAATAAGACAAATTAAGAACTCCTTCCCAACATCAATCCTTCTCTCTCATCCCCATTAAAGAAGGTATTTCCTCTTTTATGCTCTCAAAAATCCTCTTTTTACATGTACTTTTAGAGCACACGTAGTCTTAATTGCTACAGTTATTTATCAGTCTAGTTATCTCCTTCCATTTTTTTGTTTTCCACAATTCTGGCACAAGGGTGTCATAAACCTTTAAATGATGTTTGCTAAATGGCAAATTGAGGCAATGATTTACTCTGCATTTAAAAGCTGAAATCTCATGTAACTTTGACATCCTCAAGACACAGAGTTATCATAATTACGTAAATCACTAAGAGTTCAATCAATTAAAATGGCATAGGGTGTATACCCTCAATATGACAGAATAAATGATTAAACTGTAAACATTTCAAGTTTTTCTAAATTTGTTAAGTTTTATAATGTTACATGAGTTGATTTGAGATGTGGTAGAACAAAGGTCTGTGTAGTCAAGGCTATGGTTTTTCCAGGGGTCATGTATGGATGTGAGAGTTGGACTGTGAAGAAAGCTGAGCGCCAGAGAATTGATGCTTTTGAACTGTGGTGTTGGAGAAGACTCTTGAAAGAGTCCCTTGGACTGCAAGGAGATCCAACCAGCCCATACTAAAGGAGATCAGTCCTGGGTGTTCATTAGAAGGACTGATGTTGAAGCTGAAACTCCAATACTTTGGCCACCTGATGCAAAGAGCTGACTCATTGGAAAAGACCCTGATGCTGGGAGGGATTGGGGGCAGGAGGAGAAGGGGATGACAGAGGATGAGATGGCTGGATGGCATCACCGTCTCGATGGACATGAGTAAGTAAACTCCGGGAATTGGTGATGGACAGGGAGGCCTGGCGTGCTGCGATTCATGGGGTCGCAAAGAGTCGGACACAACTGAGCGACT